GAGCTGATGCCTGCTAGCTTATAAAATGTGAAATGATAGGCCTCCACATGTGAGAAGCTGTTTGTGCCTGGGAGGATGATGGTTTGGAGTACGTGAGTGTGTGTTTTTTTATACCTATTTGTAGACACACACACGCACAATGAGCTCGCTCCCTCTTTGACCGATACTCTGATGCCTTTACAGACAGTCTTAAAGGAAGCCGTGTCCTTCGTGTGCTTACTTTGCTAGCTTTACTGACACACAGAAATCCCTGTTGTCATGGTTACACCCCAGAGAGGGCAGTGCTTGTCTCCGTGGTAACTGGGAGGGGTGAGGATGCTCCCAGCCCGAGCACTGGTCGCTCAGAGTGCATGCTGGGGACGGTTTTGGGCGATGCTCGTGCATTATTGATGAAGCTCCTGGCACTCTAAAGAGGAAGACAGTGACTTGGTAGATGAATGTTTGATGTAATGTGTTGGCGGGTGAGCTTTGGCGCGGCTGCTTTGTCACGCTTGGCAGGTTTGATTAAGTCATGAGGTAATACGTCGAGACACAAGCGGGAACAGATTGTTACAGAAAGGACACGTATGATAGGATTACATAGGATACTGCAGATATTAATGATGAAGCCATTGGAGGTGTACTGTTTTATGCCACTTAACCACCTGAGTCCAAACAAGTCATTTTAAACTGTATTTATCAAACAGTGATGGAAAAAAAACTGAAAGGCATTGGCCTTGGTGCTTATTTACTTGCCTCTTTTTTTTTTTTTTTACTTCTTGAATTAATTGTGATTCACCGCAGACACGACTTCACATAACTGTAAGCCTTTCAGAGCAGTCTTTTTTTCTTTTTTTCTGATTTGCGCAGCACATTCAAAACATTTCCCCATCAAAGAGAGTGACAAACTGACTAAGCGCCTTATACCAGGAGTTATGAAACAATTTCTGTAGGATGCCGGCTGCCACAATTCTCCCTTTTCTCTCCAATGTTAAGTGTTTTCCATTCAAAAGCCCCAGTTGTCTGAGGGTCCTGTTGGTCCAAGTGTCACTATAGCAACCAGCCAGTCACAGAAAGATGATTAGGGCAAGGTCTTGCATAATGTGACTCTGCAGCTCTGAAGGATATCATCAGACTTGAATGTGGTAATGGCTGCTTTGTACAGTGCTGCTAGAAAACAATGCTAACTCTGTAAGAACATGAATGAGGCTGCATGAAGAAGACTTTCCAAGGTTTAGTATGGATATTTCTTATATCTGGTGTGTTTGATATTGCATGTTTTTTTTTAAAAGAACAATTTCAGTCTTGTTGTGGGAAAATTTAACATAACACAGCAACACAAAGTCACATTAGGATCAACAATTTGAATGGAATTAGGTTTATATCAAGTCACTAAATAAAGAGTTGACATTTAACCCTCAGAACCAATAAAAACAGCCAGTGGGTTTGAAAGGGATGATGCCAAAACTAACCCATTTCTCAGAATCAGAAACTAAACCACTCAGATTCTCACCTTTCCGATTGCCCCAACCATGTGTGACCGGCTGTTCCATCCAGAGAATTAGCCACATCTAAGCTTCAAATCATGTTATTTCTTCAAAATTGCTTTATTCTTCGTGTTTCATTTAAAAATTACCTAAAATAAACAGTTTGCATGAACCAGATTCTGGTAAAAACAAAAAAAATAGTTTCTCCTGAGTGCAACCGAGAGGCCACTCAACTGTGACCCTCAATTACGTTACAAAGAAGTGATCAACCATTAGGCTGAACTGCAGGCTGTGTTTTCATGGAGCAGATTGGAAACGAGAATGGAAACATATTGGAGATAATAAGACCAAAATAACAGTGTCATGCTGCACATTTTTGAGTTCTTCCTGCTTCTAGCAATGACAGGTGCAAAAACGCTACAGAAGTAACCACGACTATAAAATTAGAATAAAATGTGTTTTTCCCTAAAGATTTGTAAACTTATCAGTACTATGAAATACAACAGTTCTGCTTCCTTGTTGACTCATAGGAATTTGCATGAAGATTCTGCCCTTTAGAGTTGTGACTTGTGTTATTTCATCATTTGGGATTAGGCTTTAGGGTTGCTCTGACATTTTGGGAAATCCTCTTGTTTGTTGTTGTTGTACCCACAAGAAGATAAGACGATTGATATCAAATGTATTTCCTCTGCATGCCGAACTGAGAAAAAGCCTGGCTTTTGTTTAGCTTAGCTTAGCAGGGCAAGTTGTTAGCAATGATCAGAACTGAAAGCCACACGAAATGATACCAAAATTCCATAGTAAAGCTTGCAGAAAGCAAATCTGGAACACTGGGCTGAGGAGAGAACTACTCCAGGACTTGGTAACCTCCAGGTGACCCAAAAGCCTCACGTTGTTTATCAAGAACTAGTAAAGCACAGTCAACTGAAATTAAAAGGGTCTTAAGGTCTCTACCCTGCGGTATTACCATACAGGCCCTGTCTGACTCATATTTCCTAATAATTAAATAACTATTTAATTACCACTAACTTGTGATCAAGAAGGGCCCCATCTAAATTTTGCCTCAGGGCCCTTTTTAAGATTAATCCAACCGTGCTCATGAGACACTATTTTTCCAGTTTTAGTTGTGTATCATTTCTGATAATGAACAGATGATTCCGACAGCCTGTTCTAAGATGTCGGAGCATTCTTGAAGAAGGACAAGTTTTAAAATACATGCAACTGCACGACCCGCCTCAGAAAAGCTTCTGCAAGTTGATTTCAGCGTTGCTTTTTTGAAGGAAGCAAAGGCTGCCTGTGCAACAAAAAAAACTTTGAGACTAAAACATGCAGAAGCATCACTTTGATCCTTTGAGGTGATTGTGTTGCTGCGAGCCTGAGTGATGCAGTGCAGCTCTCTGCAGTAGCTGACTGCAGGTCAGCGAGAAGCATCACACCAAGGCTATTTGTATGTGTGTGAAGTAGACATCAGTGCTGCAGTGTCAGTGCTCGTTTTATACATCATCAGTGCTGCATCCTTTCCTCTGATCTCTGAGAAACCGTGAGAAGGTTGACACTTTAGGCGACTGAGTGACAAGCTGTGATGAAGGGAAAGACAGTCTGTCGTTGAAAATCTGGGCAAAACTTGACCTTGATTGCCAATAAGAGAGCCTGGAAACAGACAGAGCATCTGCTGAAGTGTCCATGAGCAAGCTTCAGCTTCATTGTTGTGCTGCAGTATTTCTGTATTTGACCTCTGACCTCCCCCTTCCCCTCCCTCTCTCTCTCTACTGGAAGGAGTAACGCAGTTTGAATGCAGTAAAAATAAGCATCACACAGTGTTTTTCCACAGGAGGAGCAGAGAGCTGGGAGCTTTGAACAAGCTGTATGTGAGCCAGGATTTAGCTTTAGTGAAGGCACCAAGAGGAAACTGCTGAATCATTCTGCCTCCGTACAGTCCTGGGCTGCTTCCAACTGCAGTTAACTCAGCATCCAAAAACAGGCAGGGGGCATGTCCTTCCCATCCCGGGACATAAACAGCTATATGTCTAAAAACAAATGCACAATTACTGTACATACTCATTTATTGTGTCATATTCCAATTGAGACCTTTCGGAAACTATTTATGGAATTTTATTACATCTTGGTTACATAAGTTTACATACTGTTAACTTGTCTTCGGTAAAAAACAAGTTTTCTACCTTGTTGGCATATGGCGTCTTTTATATGCTAGAAGATGAACCATGAATGAAAGAAGCAGTCAGTGCCTTGGCTGAGCATTTCCACCTTGAAACTGCAGCATAGCAGTGACCGTCTGAAGAACACAGATTCAGACAGAGGGGTGGGTGGAGAGAAAGGCGGGGACTTCATAGATCTACACATTCTAAAGGTGGCAATGGTGTAGCGTTGCAGCAGAGACATTTTAAGGCAGGAAGGGATTATTTTCACGAGGAAAAAAAAAATCTGATATGTAACCTTTTCCTTGTTTTTAGGGGTTTCATCAATTACCAGAGAGGGACTTTTTTTTTTTTAGACCAAATGTAGGCCTCAACTATTTATTAAAGACAAAGAAACTATTTAGCTACACAATAAAATATTTTTATGCTGATTTCATTATCCAAGTGCAATGTCATATGAAGGCAATTCTACAAGATTTACTCTGCGATACATGAATTACAAATGTTTGAGCTAAATCAGTTTACCAAATCTCATCTTATATCTTCTTATCTTAACTTGACTTAACTTCAAATTAGAAGCATAGTCGCTGAATAGAAGCAGATTTTCATGACTGAAGAGGGGCAATTTGAATGAGTTTGTTTGCATCTTTTGGTTCATTTTTGAATCATTTGAGATCAGTGAACGGCCTTGAGAGGCACATCAGTGAAAATGGTGTTGCTATAATGTAATCAGCTGGTGACAAAACTGTTTTGTGACATTTACAATTAAATGTATTTTGAGGAGCTGGAAAGTATATCTTATTTAACAGTGAAATATAAAGCTGTATATCGTCTGCATAGCTGTGATACCTGGTGTTGCGTTGACTGGTGTGTGCAGAAGCAAATAAAGATTGAAACAGGAGAGGTTCTAGATTAGATCCTTGTGGAACACCTTGTAGTCTGTCTTTAATGCACTGTAGCTGAAATTTACTAAGAAAACCTGATGAGGAACCAGGATCTGAATCACTGGACCGACTATAAGCATGTTATATATGATTTTATAGGAATGCAAACTTCCCTGGAACAGATATTTTTACTGTAGACTTATACACAATATTGTACACTTTATATTCATTCTATTATTTCTTACCAGAGTCCTGACCTAATGCACAGCAGAGTGATTTATGTTTGGTTGAATGCTTTTTACCAGAAGGCATAGAAAATGACTCACTTCTCATTTAAATGCAATTAAATCAGGGATAGCTTCGAGGGAAAAAAAATGTGATTCATTCGGGCACTGCTGCTAAACTGTGTGACCAGCCAAAAGACTCAATGCAAATGTGGGTTGGACCTTGCGCATATTAATTTTGATTTCTTTTTTCTTTTCTGTTTCTTCCAGTCGGACAGCAACACCAGTTTCCTGCGAGCGGCGAGGGCAGGGAACATCGACAAGGTTTTGGAATATCTGAAAGGGGGCGTGGACATCAGCACCTGCAATCAGGTAGGAGATGGATACATCAATCACAATGCCCACACACGTACATACATACCCTTAAAACATCTCACTCATACGCCTGAGGCTGTATAACATGAACAAAGAATATTGATTTATGTGTGGAGGAAGCACAAAAAATACACAAAATAGACTTATGTCCATGAGTCTGTTGCCTCAGTGCCTGCTGGGAAAGCTTTGCTGCCAGCTTTACTCAAGATGCTACATAATGAAGTCATGCAAATGCTTATGTTATGTCTAAGAAGAATTTTGAATATTTTTCGTATCGTCAGTGAAATGTAATCCAAATAAAGCTCCAACATATTAAATATCACAATCTAAAAAAAAAAATTTGCTGACTAATTTTAGACTGTTGTTGTTACCACCCTGCTGCAAAATGCACTTCACATGAATAACAAAGACACTTCATTCATGACAATGAAGCAAGTGCACAGCTTTTGTTAGCTAACATGAAACCAAAAGTGGCATAAACAATTGGAACTGCGCATTTACCAATCATGCATGCCCAAAGTGACATTCAGTTACGGTATGTGTCACCTGGACCTATCATTCCTACACTTCCTGTTTATTGTCTAGGGAAGCAGTCGTGCAATGCATTGTGATAGAAGTGTGTTGAGTTATGAGAGAGTTGCTATGTTTGCCTTTTCATTTGCAAAAAGTTGAGATCAAGGCTTTTTTTTGCAAATCAGGGACATCCAGTGGAATTGCAGCAACTGCATAGCTTCCTTCTCACCTCAGATGCTTTCATTTTGGCTCACTGTTTTTGTAATGTTTTGTAAAGGTTTAAAATCCAGGAGCAGACAATCAGTTGCAGCCAGTATTGCTGTGAAGTTGTTGGAACATGTGGCCTGTAATCCTTTCCTTTTGTAGAACATCTGTCAATCATCTATCATGACACTGTCTGTCAAGTCGTGGAAACGCCGGGAAACCACCCGTGTGGATATTTACCACTAGAGTTTTGTCTCTCGTCGCCTGAGTCCAGAACGCAAATATTCTTTCATCCAGCAGATATGGACCAACATTAGCATTCATTCTTAGTCATTTTTGTGTCTGATGTCCAACATTTTCTTTTGCCTCTTTTTTGGTTTTCATCTGCTTCAGAGATGATTTCCGCCTTTCTCTCTGCTACATGTTCCACCACATTCTCTAGGTAGTCATTAACTTCGCTGCTGAGAAGGCAGTGGACAAAACATTTTTCATGGTTAGAACAGCTACCTGCAGCTTTATCTTACCTGTTAGCAGGATCTGTTCTGGGTTTAAAATCTCACAGTTATTTATGTTTGTGTAGTTTCTGGCTCTGATAAATGGTTTCTTGTGTGCGAAATTTTTAAAGATAGCATGTCTTTCAAATCTGCTGGTGGACTTTTGGGTTCAGAGAGTTAATCTTTCATGCACGTTAGTGTTAATCGGAGCAAAGTCATTCTGTACACAAATGGAAGACATTCAGGGCGCTTCATGATTTCCTCAATCTATCAGTAGCTGACTGACAAACACAAATGCTCCTTTTAGAGAGCAAATGTTATTTCAACATTATTTTACCACTCAGCTAATGTGACCGCTAATGTGCACACACACATTTTGTCCTGTTGTTATTGTGTGAAAATGTTTTTGCATTCCTGTTGCAGAGAAGACTGTGTTTGATCAGAGAGTTTCTTTATTTAGTTCTAGTCATTATCTAGTCTCCTCTAAGTCTATTAGCATTCCAGCCGTGGACAAGGGGGGCAGTGAAAGCTGATAGGATGTAAACAGTCCTGTCCTGGCAACAGTCATAATGAGCAGCCCAGTAAACAAAGGTCACATGGGATGGAAATCTAAGATTTGCTGGTGGCCCTGTGCTGCGTGGGGATGATTTTGTTATCAGCTAATGGTGCTAGGAACAACGTTGTCACCCATCACTTCCACCCCTTGAAGATATTTTCAGCTCCAGTGTTTGCGTGTGTCTCTCTCATATGTGCCGTTGTCAAGTTCTGAAAGGGTGGCAAAAACCAAACACAACTGAGGTGTGTAGAAGGAAGTAAACAGGATTAAATATCAGTCAGGAACGTCAGCCTCTTTAATCACTATCCAGCAGTAGGCAGCAGAGACATAGATGGAGGCTGAGCTTGTCTTACTCATCTCTTTCTTTCTGTTAATTAGACATGTATCAGCATCACTCACACACCAGATCATATGGTGGGTTCACTGGTCCCCCCTACAAATCCTAATGACTCTGTAGGAGGAGACTCTGTTCCTGTGATAATGCTCCTTTGATGGATGCTAATAATACTGGTGCTTCAAGCTTGAACCTTGCAGAAAGAGGCATTGTTGCTGGCAGACATATCATTTGCATGATTTAGCTGGTGAAGTGACATGTACAGTTATTAGGTTTTGACAATCCTCTCTTTAGATCTTGAATTGTTTGATTCCAAACTCTATATTTTTTATTATTTCAGGATTCTAAAGGCAAATTTATACTCGAGTTTAAAAGATAATTCTTGAATTGTTATTAGGAAAACATTCATTCACTACCTTTTTCTGGACCTTTCAGCTGCCTCCTCATCAGTAAATAGAGGTGTTGGCTCAGTTGTCATGGAGATTGCTCTGTTTACATCATGTGACCATCCAATAGGAAAAATCAAAACTTTGTTAAGTGGAATTAAAACTGATCCCTGTGTAGACTGTGACAGGAATGCCAACAGTACATGCTGTTCTGTGGGAAATCACACGGCCTCTTTTTGTTCAGACTTAGTTTTTACACATTACAAGAGTCTGTTTGACATCTGTGTTCAACTGGCAGAGCTCATACGTGCGAGTGTCTCCAAGGAAACCGAAATGATGACAGCTTGCATTACTGTCGCAACTCATGAGAACTATTTCTCGCTGGTGGCTCTGGTGTTGTTTAACCCTCTGAATCCCCAAAGCCAGCTTTGAAAGCCAAAAAAAATTAAAAATTCCCAAAAATTACACCATTTTTTAGAGCCAGAAAAACTTTTCAAATATCCTCCAACTAAAGTTGTGTGACATGTCATTCAATCAGGAGAATTAACCAAATCCAAGCTTAAAATCGTGGTATTCCATCCAATTCACCTTACATGACTAAAAATTTCCAAAAATAGACTGCAGCAGATCCTGTAAAAAACAAAAACATTGTGAGCACAACCAAAAAGCCATGAGTGACTCAGCTGTTACCAGCAGTCATGGGAAAAAAAAGTCTGGAAGTATTTGGCTCAGCTGCAGGCCGTGCGTACACAGAGCTGTTAGAAGACAAATATACAAGCAAAAAAAAAAAAAAAAAAGGAGGCCCTTAGAGCAAAATACTTTAGATTTGATCAATAAAATAGATGTAGTGTGGTTTAAAATAGTATCCAGAGGAGCAAGTTGTCAGAAACTTGTTGGAAGCATAGACTGTATAAAAGATGGACGTAGCAACCGGCCCTGAAAAATGAAGCCAACCC